GATGCTTCTGTGTCTCTGTATCTATTTTTTTCATTAGTTTATTTTCTTCATTAGATTTCAAATATGAGTGAGATCATGTGATACTTGTATCAGTATTTTTATTAGTCTGTGTCAGGAGTCCTCAAACTTTTTAAACAGGTGGCCAGTTCACTGTCCCTCAGACCATTGGAGGGCCGGACTATAGTTTAAAAAAAACTATGAACAAATTCCTATGCACACTGCACATATCTTATTTTGAAGTAAAAAAACAAAACGGGAACAAATACAATATTCGTATTTGCATGTGGTCCGCGGGCCGTAGTTTGAGAACCCCTGGTTTAAATAACCATTATTCTTGATATTATATTCATGACTCACATATCTTTAATTTTATTATTATTTTTTATTGATTTCAGAGAGGAAGGGAGAGGGAGAGAGAGAATCATTGATCAGCTATCACCTGCAACCCTTCCTGGGGATTGAGTCCACAACCCAGGCATGTGTCCTGACTGGGAATCAAACTGTGACTTCCTGGTTCATAGGTTGATGCTCAGGCACTGAGCCACACTGGCCGGGCTCACATATCTTTAAGATCCAGTTCATTAACAAATTGTACAGAAACTTACAGAATTGTCCAGTCAATTATATACCATATATACTGGCATTTGTCTCCCTGATTATATTATATTGTGCCCTTTTAGAAACTATCAAACTTATTTTCTTCAAATCAAGAACCATCTATCTATATATCTATCTATCATCTATCTATCTACCTATCTATCTATCCTATCTACTAATAGACAAACATGGTAATTAACCATACCTCCACTACACTTCCCATTGGCTAATCAGGGTGATATCCAAATTAACTATCAACAAAGATGGCAGCTGGCAGCCAGACAGCTGAGGCGAACATGAGGCTTGCTTGCTCCAGTGATGGAGGAAGCCAAGGTTCCCCGCCTGCCGCAGCCGGGCTCTGAGCTCCAGTCTACGCAACAATGTTGCAATTATAGAAACTAAACAACCCCCAGATCCCTGCTTTCAGCCAGCCTGCCTCGGAGCTGGAGCCACAACAAAGTTTCAATTACAGAAGGTAAATAAATCCCAGAATAAAAAAAAAGAAAAGAAAAAAAGGAAAGACTGGGAGCTTCAGTTGTAGGCTTGGCCCACCTGAAAACAGCCCTCAGCCCCTCATCCAGGCTGGCCAGGCACCCCAGGGGGACCCCCACCCTGATCCGGGACACCATTCAGGGCAAACCAGGCGGCCCCCACCTGTGCACCAGGCCTCTATCCTATATAGTAAAAGGGTAATATGCAAATTGTCCCTAACAGCAGAAAGACTGGGAATGACTGGTTACTATGACACACACTGACCACCATGGGGCAGACGCTCAATGCAGGAGCTTCCCTCTGGTGCTCAGCGAGCTCCCACATGGGGGAGCTCTGCTCAGCCACAAGCCAGGCTGATGGCTGCCAGTACAGCGGTGGTGGTGGGAGCCTCTCCTGCCTCCTCAGCAGCGCTAAGGATGCAGCTTAGGTCTGCTCTCCGCTGGCAAGTGGACATCCCCCGAGGGCTTCCAGGCTGCCAGAGGGATGTCTGATTGCCATCTTAGGCCCAATCCCCCAGGGAGCAGGCCTCAGCCAGCAGGTGGTCATCCCCTGAGGGGTCCCAGACTGAGAGAGGGCACAGGCCGGGCTGAGGGACCCCCCCACCCCCCGTGCACAAATTTTTGTGCACCGGGCCTCTAGTCTATCTATAAAAGCCTAAGCAACTGGCTACTGTTCCGCCATTCAACTGGTAGCTATGACATGCACTGACCACCAGGGGGCAGACACTCAAAGCACAGGCATGGAAACATGGAACAGACTGATGAATCTCAGAGGGAAAGGGGGACAGGGGAGGGCCAGAAGAGATTAACCAAAGATCTTATATGCATACTAGAGGCCAGGTGCATGGATTCGTGCACTGGTGGGGGGTCCCTAGGCCTGGCCTGTGGGTATCAGGCGAAATTCATGCACTGGGCCTCTGACAACCCCTGAGGGGTCCTAGATTATGAGAGGGTCCAGGCCATGCTGAGGGACCCCACCATTGCACAAATCCGTGCACTGGGCCTCTAGTAGTTAAAATAAAAAGGAAGTGAGAAAGGAAAAAAAAGATTATGCTGACATCCTTATATGTGATTCAGAGCAAAAGCAACATGCAATCAGGAAAGGAATGTAAAGAAGCACAACAAAATTCTAACTTTTCCAAGGAGGAAAACTGTTTTAAAAGAATATCAAACTGTTTCTGATATTTTTTCTTGGTTCTTTTGATTTTGGTGCCTCTTGTCTGCTGGTGACCTAGATACTTCCCAGTCCTGATTCTGGCACTGGGCAAGTTTGTATCCTTCAGTGCTGTGTCCACAGCTCCTAGTATAACACCTGGCTCTGGATTGGAGCTGAATAGATACTTGTCCAGTGAATGATGGTAGAGTCCCCCACGCCCCCCCCCCTGCTTCCAGAACATGCTGGACCAGAGGGCTTCTGCAGGAAGTTGATCAGTAAGGCAGTTGGGTTGCCATGGTGTTTTCAGTAGTAGACAGTCCCAGGTACACAGGGATCTAGTTCTCTTTGATGTCTGTTTCTCTGTGGAGGTGGGATGAGAGTACCTCCTGGTCTCCACCCCTCCATTACCTTTGTCATTTTTAGCAGCAAGAGCAGGAGCGGGAATCCTTCAGTGGCTGAACTAGTTGCAGTTCCTCTGGTTGCAGGCCACAAAGGGCAGGATTTATTGGAAAGATGCTGTGGTGCTTCAAGGAATTGAAGCAAGAGTTGGCTTAGGAAGGGGAGGCACCAGGGCAGCTCTGGGGACCTCAGCTGTATGGGAACCAGTCACCCTATCCTGAGGGCTCCTGATTCCTGACAACCAATTCATACTGCTAACCCTTGGAAGCCTCAGCACCCCTCCTGCCTGAAGGAAGGGGCCAGGTTGATGCAAAACCACTGAGCAACACTGGCCGGGTTCACATATCTTTAAGATACCATGCTAACCAAGAACTCTGCCAGGGTATCATCCAGCAGTATAGCCCCACAATCCCAGCGGTGCGTACAGGAATCAGGGACTGACTCTTCCTAGAACACACTCTCCCCTGATCCTCCAAAAATGGTTAATACTTGTCCTCTGAGTCCTATCCTGACGCCAGCCCTGAGCGACAGCTCAGGGTCCAGCACCTGTGGCCCCTCCACGACGTTCCCCAACATGCCCAAGATCTGAGACACCTGTTCTGAGCTCAGTTCTCCTGCGCCGACCGGTAGTGCTGCTACCCATTGCCAGCAGTAGCTCTCAGACCCAGGCCTACTC